GAAAGAGCATGACATGACAGAAGGACTGAAAGACCAGCCTGCAAGCAGCACAGTGGGTGAGGGAGCAAGTGGTAAATGAGAAGGAAAGGTAGGCAGGGATCAGATGAGAAAAAGTACAATTCGGAGTTTATTCTATTGCAAGGGAGACTCTTGCTATTGGCCTCCATCTCATGCTGACCCCACGTGTTAAAAGAGTAAAACTACTCCATAGGGTTTTCTTGGCTGTAATCCTTCTGGAAGCAGTTTGCCAGACCTTTCTTCCACCGAGCCAGGGAGTCAATTCAAACAGGCAACCTTTTGTTTAACAGCTGACTGCAAACTGCTTATGCCACTTAGGCTCCTTCCAATGGGATACTGGAGTGTTTTAAGCAAATGTGATATGATCTGATTTAGACTTTAAATAGATCATTCTGGTGCTGTGTGGCATGGATCATAGAGAACAGTAGAAGCAGAAAGACCAGCAGAGTCCTACCTTCTCCATCCAGCTTTCTTTCACCAACCAGGCTCTCTCCAGAGAACTCATCCCAGCACTGACTAATATAGTAGCCACTAGCTCTGGCAGCCTCGGAAGGAAGATTGGGCAATCTACTTCCGTAGTGATACTGCCTCGGAAATCAAAGGAGGGGTCGCTATGAGTCAGGTCCGACTTGACGGCACATAACAACAGCGGCAGCAGCTCTGGTAGCACAGTGCCTAAGGCATCTGATTGCTAACCAGAGCCCGGTGGTTCAAACCTACCAGCCACTCTGCAGAAGTAAGACTGGGCAATCTAGTTCCGTAAAAATTTACCACCTTGGAAACCCAATGGGGGTTGCTATGGGTTGGAATTGACTTGACGGCAGTGGGTTTGGTTTTTTGGTTTAGCCACATGAAGCTATTAAAATTAAAATTAAATATTAACATTTCAGTTCATTGCTGTACTGTTCACACTTGAAGTGCTCAATAGTCACATGTGGCTCGTGGCTACCACACTGGACAACACAGATGGGAGAACATATCCATTATCACAGAGAGTTCTACTGAACACCAATGAACTGGAATATCAGATCTGCCTCTTGGCACATGGTCCATGGTACCAACATTCCCCTTTTGATGTTTATGTTCTCTCTCTCTGGCTAGACTAGAGTTGCAATTCTGTTTAAAGAAAAAAAAAAAACTCCCAGTGGTTGACTTGAATTTTTTATTATAAAACTATTTAAGTATGTAAAAACATCAAACTAGGTATAAAATTCTACACTCATTAATAATCATAAAGCCTAAACAGAATTTCAAAGTAAATACAGTCTCAAATCAAAACTCCAATTAATAATATTCACTATGTTGAATTTTCAAGGTTAAGCAAAAGGCGTATACATGTGAGTAGTCTGCAGCTGCTTCGAAGAGGCTGGTGTGTTCAGGGGGTCGTGGGCCGATCCTCCCGGAGCCCACTCAGCCGGCCTCCCTCCTTTTCACCTTCTCCGGGCCTGAGACGTGAAGGGCAGCCCTAGGCAATGGGCTCTCTCATTATGTATGCCTCTCTGGATCTCTTTTCTCTAGTGTATGGTTTTCCATGAAATGCTTTCAGACTTGCTTTCTGGATTAGGAGGAAATGACCCAGCAAGCCTTTGGCTTGTTTTGGCTCCAAGATCAGTAAGCGATCCTCAACCCGGTCTCATCCAGCAGCCTGGAGTTCTCATTGGGATTCCTATCTTTGTGTACACAGGTACGTTCTTTGGTGGCTTCACGTCGAAGAGGGGTAACTGAGCCCAGACGGGAGTCAGACATTTCTGGGTCTCCTGGTTATTCATCATAGTTGAATAGGAATCCAACACAGGACATTCTAACAAATAATTTTGTCCCTTCTTTCAGCTGATTTGCAATTGTAATACAAAAACTTCACTACAAAGACACTTATTTTGTCCTCTACTTCTTGCTCTTCCAAGTGAAACAAAACCAAAGAACTAGGAAGATTAACCAAAGACTAACGAATTATTTCTAATACCAACTCCTAGCACATTCTCATCTTTACTCCAGAGATGACGGGTGGCATATGCAGTGAATTTATATAGGTATCATAATAACCATAGCATTCCAAACAATGAAACTATATGAAAATGTTTACAAAGAACCAAACAATAAGAAAAAGTTGCAAAAGATACCATATTTTTTTCACCAGATGTTCTGTAAGAAATGAAGTATGTATTTGTTGTAGCAGTGAAGAGGGTGGTCACACACTAAGAATGTAATTAATGCCACTAAGTTGTATACTTAAAACTGGTTAAAACAGCATTTTAGGATTAACCAAAGACTAAGGATATATTTTACCACCAAAAAAAAAAGGATTTACTGACACAAAGGATTGCTAGCAATGAGCCGTGTTAAAAAGTATGTCTTACGAACTTTACTCAATAATTGAAAGGCCCAGTGGCATGACCTCCTTCCATTCCCCTCCGTTTCAGAACAAGACTCAGTCAGCTACTGCATGACACACACAGTGGCTGTTCAAATCTGCTGGGAGGACCTACAACCTCAATGCAATTAATAGCTAAGATCCCAAAACCAGAAAGGAACACACTGTGAATCCATTAAGTTAGCTGGGGGTGTGGTGACAGAGGCTTCAGCAATGCATGGCCACCCTCTATTAACTTCACTGTTCCATCAACTGTGTGCTTCACTTCTGACAGAACAGTGCAGACTGCTCAGTCTGTCTTAGTGACCGTGAGCATGAAGGGGCCGCAGATGACCTGTCCAACTCCTTCAGTTACTGATGTGAAAACTAGGGTCCTATGTAAACAGTGTTTTCCAATATCCTAAAGCCTTTTAGGTACCAATTTCACATCTTGAAGATCAGAACCCAGAATTCCTACCTCACGGTATTTTATCTTTCTCTTCCTAAAGCTTTGAGACCACCTGCAGAAAAAGGAGACACGTCTTTAGAAATAAGAGTCTGCTGGTGGTATCTTATCAGGACCCTCATGTGGCTAAAAAAATGACCATAAACTGCTTAGGGAGTTTAGAGACTGCCACCGCCAAAGTCAATCCAGCTGGGCTTAAGAGAGAGTAAGAGTGGGGCATGAGTCTTCAAGTTCCAGTCAAGGTCGATCGATACCTTGGAAGATTTTTCTTGGCTGATGTTGATTCCAACTCACAGTGACCCCATGTGTGCAGAAAAGAACTGCTCCACTGGGTTTTCAAGCCTGAGACCAGAGAAGTAGACAGCCAGGCCTGTCTCTGAGGCTCCTCCAGGTGGGTTTGAACCACCAACCTCTCAGCTAGCAGTTGAGTGAACTGTTGGTGCCAGCAGGGGTTCTTTGTTGGCTGTTGTTCTAAGTTAGATGATGTTGGTTGAGGCTGACTCATGGCAACCCTATGGGGCAGAGGAGGCAATAATCATCATGGGAGCAGACTGCCAGGTCTTTCTCCCAGAGCCAATGGTGGGCTCAACCACCAATGTTTTGGTTTGCAGCTGAGTGCTTAACTGTTG